TTTTTTTTTTTTAACGTGGTGCTGGGGATTGAACCCAATGCTTCATGTATGATAGACAAGAACTCTACCACCAAGCCACAACCCCAGCCCTACTCTTAAACAGTTTTTATAGGCTTAATTTTGAGCAATAGAGCTTTATATACCTCTTTTTTATTCATTCCTCTGAGTAAGTTGTCATTAGCATTTCTTTATCATTCCTAAATCCTTCCCTAATTTCTATCACTACATTTCTTTGTTCAAGACTTACCAAAGCTGAATTTTAAGCCATTGTTTTAATTACAAAAAGTTTAACCCTCACTACTAAGTAGTATTCTTTTGTTTATAGTTGTGTTTATGAGGATGCTTGATTAAAATTTACTATATGGGCATGAATGCCCCCTGAGTAACAAAGTAAATGATGCTTCCTTATCCCTAAAAATTATCAATATTTAATCTATTTTGAATTTCTATATGGTGAGGCAAGGCTTGCATTTACTTTTTCTCTGTTCCATTTCTTTCCTTTGAATTGAAGCAATGTATTTTAATACACTAAATTATTATATATTTTGGGACCTATTTCTGGAACTATTTTATCAGCTGTTCTATTTGTCTATTGTTTTGTCCAAACCATACTCTTTTTTTTTTTGCAGGTCAGATAAAATAATTTAATAAATAATATTCCAAATAAATGTATAATAAAATTATGAAACAAAAATGTCAAGAATGGGCAATTAATCATAAAGTTTTAGTATAGGAGAAGGGCATTAGCTATTCACATTTATGATTCAGGGGCTAAGAAATCAAGTACTTAACTTCCTCACATGTCCTTGCTGACATGTTCTTTACTTGGTTGGCTTCTGAAAATGGTTAAGCAACCACTCTGTCCACCTATAGACCCCTGGAAAGAGGCCCATCCAAGCTAAGCCCTAGCATAAGTCCGTACAAAAGTCCATTCCAGGTCACCCACCCAGGCAGAACAAGAATCTTTCCCTTTTTACCTTCCTGTGCCCATAAACTCTTATTTCGTCTCAAACACAGTTACTATAAGATATTTTATTTCATTGAAAAAAATCTGAACAAAGAACCAAATTTGGTTCCCTTAAAAGTGAGGGTAAGAGGGAGGGTAAGAGTGCTTTGTCCATTATGGTTCTGCCACTATCTTATCTCTGACTCTGAGGCCCTATGAGAATCACAGGTGTCCAAGAGAATTCTGCTAAGCCTGATTTGGCCTTGAGAGTAGCTGCTTTCTGGCCTACAGACTGCTGAAATCTTGAGAGCTGCTATGGCAATTATTAAAAATGTGTGAATAAACAGAATGCCTAGGAACTGGATTGTTGGCAGTAATACTTCAACTTTGAAAGAAAATAAATAATTTATAAAAAATCATTCTAAGATGTAGAAAAACATTTCAATTCTCTGGGACCAAGACCTCCCCCTTATTTACATTTCCAAAGCCATTGAGTGAACCCAGAACTGGCCAGGGAGCACTGAGGCAGGGTTTTCTCTGTGGGGTATGCCAGTCTCATACTAGATAATTAGATGAAGACAAAACCGAAGGTCATTTGCTCATTTTGTGAGAGGACAGGGAAATTGCTGGAGGCAAAACAAACAAGATTTAGTGTTGGATTAGTTTCAACTCCTCATAAGCCTTAAAACTCTTGGAGCAATGTCCTGCGTCCTTGAGAACCAGGTTTAAGCAAGTTACTATACTGAATTATTTGTTGCCATAGAGTTGAGAAATAATTCTTTTTCATTTCTCTCATCCTCAAAATCCAAGTGGTTTGGGTAGTTCATGGATTGGTTAGGGAAAGTACAAAAGTATTCAAGTGAAAAGGCTCATATGGAGAGGGCACTACATTAACTTCTTGGCCTCAGAGAAGCTTTTTTAAAAAAATTATTTATTCTAATTTGCTATACATGACAGCAGAATGCACTTCAATTTATAGTACACATATAGAGCACAATTTTTCATGACTCTGGTTGTACACAAAATAGTCATACCAATTGTGTCTTCATATATGTACTTACAGTAATGATGTCCATCTCATTTCGCCAACTTTCCTACCCCCATGCCCCCTCCTTTGTCCTCCCTTCCTTTGCCCTGTCTAAAGTTCCTCCATTCCTCCCATGCTGCCTCCCCGCCATCCCCATTATGGATCAGCATCCACATATCAGAGAAAACATTCGGCCTTTGGTTTTTAGAGATTGGCTTACTTCACTTAGCATGATATTTTACAACTCCATCCATTTACTTGCAAAAGCCATAATTTTATTCTTTTTTAAAGCTGAGTAATATCCCATTGTGTATATATACCACAATTTCTTTATCCATTCATGTATTGAAGGGCATCTAGATTGGCTCAACAGTTTAGCTATTGTGAATTGTGCTGCTGTAAAAATTGATGTGGCTGTGTTCCTGTAGTATGCTGTTTTTAAGTCCTTTGGGTATAGACCAAGGAGAGGGATAGCTGGGTCAAATGGTGGAGGAAATGAGGGTCCTTCATCTCCACCTGTATGCCGATCAGGGGAAGGAAGAACTTTTGCTTGCACTGCCACTGGGTTCTATAACTGCAGATGACCATGGTCTCATTGAGGATTTCCTCCACGAAGCAACACTTCTCTGTCTCATCAATGTGGAAGTAGAGCACTTGAACACCACTACCAGTAAGGCTGGCAAACCCCTAGCTTAGACACAAGCCTTCACACCTGGTCCCCATGCGCACGCGCAAGGTTTGGGCTGCTCTGCGCTTCCGCACTGCCAGAGTGTCACAGCAGGAAAGCTGAACTTTACTCTTGAGGACAGTGGACTTATGGTAAGTGCAACATCTGGAAAGGTCAGCCTCCCAACTTCCTATTTATACTTTTCTTAGTAATTTTTTAAAATTATCTTTTAAAATTAACACGTATTATTTGTACATATTATTTTTGTAACATTTCCATACATGCAGGTAGCTTGATGATACTTACTTTTTGTGAGAAACGTGATTGGTGAATTGTGTATGCTGCTTAATTAAGTCACATTAAAATCATTATGCTTCTTTCTCAGAAAGGTAAATTTCAAATATTTCAGAAAATAGAAAATGAAATATTAGTAAAATAGTGTGAAAGTGCTCTTTGTCTAAAAATTGTGCAGTAACTTGGTTACTAAAGATTGGAAAGAACCCTATTGATTGAAGTTTTCTTTTTACGTTTGATGGCATTATGATTGTTTGTAAGCTAGGGAAAGGAACAACCGATATGACTCACATAGTACTTCTCATGATCCAGACATTTTTCTAAGTGATTTACTTTGAATTTTTTGTAGCAGATTCTTTCATTATCCACAATACAGAGAAAGAGTCTGGGGTGCAGATATACTAACTACCCTCAAGATCTATTAGGTTAGACTCAAAGTCTGGCAGTTTGAATTTAGGATCTGCTATCATAATTCCTGCACTACAGTGATTCTTTGGTAATTAAGATGTCAGAAGAATTTTTTCACTTGAAAGCATTTTCTTCATATACTTCACTGATCTTTGAAGGGGAGGGAGGAGGGATGTGATAATGAAAGAGTAGTGGAATGAATCTGACCAATTATTCCTGTGTATGTACATGAATATACCACAACCACCATGTGAATCTCACCATCATGTATATATCCACAATTAAAAAAACTATAAGTGAATAGAAGAAAGATCATTAGAGTAGAGAGAGGGGAACAACTGGAGGGAAAGGGGAAATACTGGGGATTGAATTAGAACAAATTATATTCCATGCTATCATAATTTTGTCAAAATGAATTCTAATGTTATGTATAACTAAAAAAGAACTAATAAAGGAAAAAAAGGAATGCTATCCCTATTTATGGATCTTCCTCTGGTGACCTCATCACCACCAAAGCCCCAAATTTATGGGTCAGCTTACAAATAGTTATTATTTATTTATAATAAACTATGTATTTTGTTTTATGCACTCACTACTATCAGGGAAGTTGAAATTCTGGAATTTCCCTAATAGGTTGTAGAGAGAAAAGTAAAGGCTCAGGAAGATATTTGAGTGGATTCAGTATGTATAAGCTATATAGACAATCCTTAACTCTACTCTTCTGGAAAGGGGTGGAGAGACATGGTATTACCAAGTCTGCTGTGATAAAAATACTGTTCAACAGCTTCATAATTCTACTGCCTAAAAGTACCTATGACCATTTATTTGCATCATCAAATGCCAGGAAAAAAGAAATAGCACATCATTTAAAGACTTTTGGACTCAGAGTTGACATTGGACTTACATTCCTAAGGGTTCATCATTGCCCTCTGGTTTGAGTGGAAGCATATAGGAATTATGTAATACATGGATTCCTAGTTCTGATCAAATGTATATTGGGTTCACCAAATGACAACCCCAATGATGAGGGTCACACCATTTCCTGAATGTATAATTGGAATGTATGTACTTGGAAGTTGGTTCAACTTCCACAATCTTTTCTTGCCCTGTGAGTTATAGTTGTTATATTGGTGAAGGTACTGAAAATTTTCCATTCCTGGGCTAAGATAGTGTTTCAAAATTTCTCTTGCATTTTTTATGGTAGTGGTGGTAA